AACCACACACTCAGCAGAGCTGGTGGGAATTTTCAGAGGGAAAACAGATAAAATAATATCCACTTCAAAAACTAAATTGTGTGGTAGAAGATGTACTAATAAGGCTGCAAAATAGTAAGCATGGATGGAATAAGAAAAAAAAAATTGGGCACAAGGTAATATGGCAAATGTTGTGTAGAAAAAATTAGGCAAATTGAGTTTTTACTACTTGCAAGACTAAATAAGAAGAATGTTAAAAAAAGTTATAATGTCGTTCCCTTATATTTGGGGTTAGTCAATGAAGACGTTGATTGAACGTGAAAATTTAGTTGTACAGCCTTCTTTGGGGCTTTTTTTGTTGCGTGAGTAGTATGGAAATAAAGGTATATTAGTTATACCATTAAGACCCACCATGTTGTATGTAGGTTATATAAGAATACTAATACATTTGTACTGTAAAGTTATATAAATAATAAGCATCAAATAACTATAGGGGCTATTTGGCTGTAAGTATTTAGAATATGTGTATTTTAAATGTAACATAGAGTAAATATAATGTATTTGATATATTCGAGTTTGCTTGATTGATTGTAAAATAAATTCAGACTTATAAATTTTGGGTTGAAAGTAAAAGGAATATATTTTTTATTATTAATATTACATATACATACATATACATACATATATACATATACATACATATGCATATATATATACATATGCATACATATATACATACATATACATATAAATATTTTTTAGAAAAATGGATCTTGCGAAGTGAGGTTGATGGTGTTGGACAGGTTGGTGTTGCTAACTTGGTTGGCGGTAATGTGAGGTGGTAAACAACTGCTGGAAGAGTTGACTAGAGGTGGTGAGGTCATGAGCGATTAGGAGAGATGAGGGCTTGAGCAACTGTTGGATGAGCTGGTGAGGACACGAGCGCTTATGACCTAAAAGTATTTCGCCAGTGCCAGGATAGTAGAGAACTAGAGATCACATGGACTCGGAGATCCGAGGTTGTTTGCGAGCGCTTGAATGAACTATTGGTTGTATTCAAAACCACTTAAAGAAATACTTTGGATATATTCTAAGGGATATTTTATTGCAAATATTTAGAATTCAAGTGTACTTTATGTGATGCATCAGAATTTTAATTGTAAGAATTATTCATTTATCCTTTAAATAAATAACAACCAAAGCTATCTAATATTATCTATCAGTAATAATGACAATACATATTTTATAATTTAAAACATTGATGTACACATCTATATTCATTCCAAAAAATTATATACAATACTCAGGATCTATACAATCATATCACAACTACTCTGTCCTGAGTACAATAGAATAACTAAAACAAAAAAGAACCAGAACCTGACGAAATCATGACCAACCTCACACTCCTGCTCTCCTGTCCTAATTTGAAATCATTTAATCACATATAATAAGCTTAAAAAGTCCAACAGGTCATCAAAACTTACAACTGAATTCAAAGTGCAATAAATGAACAATATGCATATCAGCAGTCAAATCATAGTGATTACATTCATATGATTATTGAATCAGTGCCTAAATAGTAAAATTCATATGTAGTAGCAATAAAATCTATAAACAGTAAAACACTATAGTATGGAAGCCAGTAAAACAGTAAACTAGTACGAGTTTTAAATCTATAAAGCAATCGTTGTATCCGTAATACCAATCAATACATAAATCATATAAAACATCAAATCAAAATATCGATAATGATTATTGAAATCAAATCAATATAGTAAAATCATATATGAATGTAATATATGAATGCACACATGTTATTATATATATATATATATATATGAACGTCCTGTATTCTATATTTTGTGATTAGAATATCATATACTTAGTATCAGTACAGTGAATCAATAATACAAATAGTATCAGTATCTAAATCGGTAATAATAACAATCCAGTGGCAGAAGCAGTAGAATAATGTAATAATAGTAAATTCGTACAGTAACAACAAATCCATACAATAATAAAAAAATACCTCAAGAACATGCATTTAAGTAGTCACACTAAACAAGTATGAAGTTCTGGCTATCACGATGTTTTTTAGTGTTAGTATCAGTATTAGTAAATCGTTGGTTCAGTAAATAGAGTCGTCACTCTTTGCCCGTCGGCACAGTAATGATATCCTTATAACTCTCAATCAGTGTATCTTGTGAATTAGCAAACTAGAATATTTAAAGAAAAGCTCATTGACCCACCATCCTGTATAGGTCAATCAGTGTCTAACCAACGGGTCAATTAGTCTTTACTTGTTTGTTTCACACGCGCATATTATTATCATAATACTATAACAGTAATAGCGACCAGCTATTACTCAAGCACATATCCACATTCATTTATAGTGTATTGCAAGAAATAAGGCATAATTGAGCATAATTCAGAAAATGTCAAAATGTACTAACGGTAGACAACAAAAATCATACTCAGCAAATATTCACATTTTCAAAATTTTACCAAATTACTAAATATTGCATAAAATGACATTATGAAACTATTGTTGAACTAAATCGTTATTTTTAGCCATCAAAAGAAATTTTTGAACAAACAAAAAATGTTGTATTTTCAAATAACCCCGTGAAAAATTTTAAATAAATACTCAAAACATTCATAATATCAATCTTTATAACATACAAAAAGTTAAGCGGTGAAAGTTTTACCAATATAAAATTATTCACATTTTTTGTAACATAAACACAAATTTGATAAGAAAAATATCAAAAACACGAAATTTTTGAAATCAGAATAGGGTAAAGGTTCCTTTCAGCGAGACGAGTAAATCTACCAACTGGTCCGACTGACGAAAATTGTTCTGCATCCTCCAAATCTTAGGTTTTATTTTCTCTCTCCTAAAAAAATCCTCTCATTTCCTTAAGCATTTCTCTGTTAGTCGAACTCAATTAAAAGGCAAATGATTTAATAAGATATGTTAATGCTTTTAGATATTATAATAAAGTAATAATAAAATATTAATGAACTATTTAATTTAATTAATTTTTTAGTATAAAATTCAAAGAAATCATTTTAGGACTTAAAAAATTACAAAAAAATTTTCATAAAATAATTCATTTTTTTTTAGAAAACATCAGTGAAATCGGTTTGCGCAACGGAAATCTAAAGTTCCTGAAATACTTGTACTGATAGGTACCAAAATTTTAAGTATTTCCACCGGTGCTCAAAAATTACAAAAAAATCATGCAATAAAATACTATAATAACAATGTTATGGCGAAGACAGTTTGCGATTTGGAGTTATAATGACATCAGAAAAAAAAAATTGGCAAAGTCAAAATACGGGCTATTACACTTTAAATATAAAGGAAAATAAATATAGTGTGCTTTGAATATTTATAATTGCTTTGTTTGTCTGAAAAACAAAAGCAGGGTATTGTATTTCTTGTTTGGTTGGATATCAAGTGTTGAGTTTGGTACATTGAAATGCAGCCGCGTATTGTTTTTACAACAGTTCATTTCAGATTTTAGATTTCATGTTCACTTACCAATACAAACTCATCATATTTCAATAGAAATTATTAAAAACGTAGATTTCTTTCATTTGGTTTTATGTACAACTCGAAATTGAGTCAGTGGCAAATAGTGGACCAATTAAAACATGTTACAAGATAAAAGAAATGAATTAAAAAAAAAAAGCACAAACCAACATTCTTTGAGAACTAAAAGGCAGAGGTGGCCGCGTTCGATTTTGAATAGCAGTTGTGACCGGGAAGATGCAAGGGTTACTACGACAATAGTAGCCAGCCACTCACGAAGGGATCTAGGGCTTTGGGATGGTGCTTGCATCTAGGAGAATAGTTGCAATAAGGACCGGAAACTCGAAGGGCACCTATTGGGCTATTATGAAGGCCGATGACGACCATGAAGTGACGCCCTAGGAAGTGCAATGAAGTTGAAGGGGCTTGGACGAGGGGTATTGAGGTGGAGAAACACACGAGAAATATAGGATTTGTTGTATTTGGAACTTGCTTGAATTGAGCGAGTTTTTGAGTGCATGTTAAAATGCCTGTAAGGTTTTTCTGATATCTCAAAATTTTGCATTGTATTTTATTTTCTTTGAACCAAACGCCAAAAATTATAAAATACATGCAAACGGAATGCAATAAACTCTTTTTGCTCCCAATAAAGCAACCCTTACACAAACCAAACACTTAGAAAATTTAAATCCCTACATTTTAAAGCTCTGCACTCATAATTTCACTCGATTAATCAGTCCCATGATGATAAATTGTGGGCTATAGAGTAGGAGTTAAGAACAACGAGGTAATACAATGCAGTAATATGCCTTGGTCGTGTACACTGACTGGTACGGACAGGCTGGGTAAGGCAGAATTTTAAAATCAATGTAAAGGGCCTAGGAAAAAGAGTGGCCAAAACTATAATGGATTGAAACTGCTCAGGGATCCTGGTATATTAAAATGACGAAATAGAACAGAAAGGTGGAATCATGAATCAAAGTGGAAGGGGTAAGATTTTAGTCAATTTCAAAGTTGAACTAACGCACCTTTTGGTGTTTGATGCAGTATTCTAGTGTAAAACTAGGTAAGGGTGTAAATTAGGCGTTGACAAGCCTAAAATTGTTGCTGATTCTCACAATAGTGCAAATTTGAAGTATGTGGACTGCACTCTTCTAACGGTTGACTGACATGAATATTGTGATAAGTTTATTTTACTTGAAATCAGTAATAAATTGATACCTCTGCTAGTAATTAAAATTGCATTTCAGTTCTTCCATGCTGAGGGGCATGCATTAACCTTTTGAAGTTAATCTATGCGCATTTATGATCAATTTCATCCAATGGATAATATTTGTTTAAGGACACTAAAGTGAAAATCACTTTTGTAGGATTATGCACCTGACCGGCAACCTTAATGAGTTTCTTGATAGCTGGAATAGCCGTGTTTCAACCCAATCTATGGGCAATTTAGCTTGATATTGTCATATCTGCTTCTCAGGTTCAAAAATATGTTGAAGGACTCTGTTGGATCATGAGATATTATTATGAAGGTGTCTGCTCCTGGCAGTGGTTAGTTTTGATATCTGAACAATCGATTCATGTTGTCATTCCTGTTTAAGTACATCTTTCTTAATTAAGAGATGCAAATAAAATATGCTTTGCTACTTAAATTGGCACTTTTTGGTAATTTCCCTTGTTTATACTTTTTATCCAAAATAAATTCTATCACTTTTTTAATATGGAATTCACTTCTTAGAGAATCCCAAAAATTTCAGGTTTTACCCATATCATTATGCTCCCTTTGCTTCTGATCTCAACGGCCTGGCTGATTTGGAGGTCACGTTTTTCCTAGGTCATCCATTTAAACCTTTTGATCAATTAATGGGAACATTACCAGCTTCCAGGTTGGTTGTGAGACAAGTTTGCAGTGTACTTTTGCATATATTGATGAAGATAAGAAATCAACTCCAGTAATACCCACGTTATTTACAATTTAGTCCTTTTTTTGGTTCCAGCTCTGAAGCTCTGCCCAAACGCTATGGTGATCTAATGACTAATCCAGTTTCACCTTTAAATTCTTTTTATCCTGAAGGTAAAACGAAACTATCATTTGTCTAGTTGCTCCAGTTCACCTACATGCTACTTCATTGATCCTTTATCTAAATTCTAAAATAAATTCTTTTTATTTCTGCCCAGATTTTGAGATTGATATGAATGGTAAAAAGTTTGCATGGCAGGTATTTTGTGCTCGTCAGATTTCGTTGCATGGTGTTACTTGAGATTTAATTATATAGGCTGTGCTATACATTTGGCATTTCTACTATATTTCAGGGGGTTGCAAAATTGCCGTTTATTGATGAAAGACGCTTGTTATCTGAAACAAGAAAGCTTGAAAATTCATTGACGGTGGAAATTGCTGATATTTATTTATTGTTTGGATACCTACGTATTTGTCTGAATATGTTAGTGAAGTTTACCTTTTTTATGTTTGTTGTCAGGAGGAGGAAAGATTTAGAAATAAGATAATGTTCGACATAATTTATGTCAATATTAATCATCCTTTGGCCATTCAAGTTGCTTCACTATATCAAATGATATCTCAATTGGGAATGCAAGGAGCATTTCAAATTAAAATAGACACTACTCTCAGGTCAGCAAGCATGCTCTGTTAACTGCTTGAATGGTTTGTTGAGTTCAATTTCTGTTATGATTTTTTTTTTTTTAATTTTGTAGCGGTGGAATGAATGGCTTCCTTTGTCTGACAGAGAGAAACAATTACAGCTCATCAGTATACAATCTTAACAATAATTTTGTTTTGTATGTTTGCGATCAATTTACCACTACTTTTACTCCTTCAATTTTTTCATTGTTTTGTGGATCTTCAATTACTTTCCTTTCATGCAGAATTATTCTTGTGCAGGAATGCTACTTATTTTAATCCTTTGCCCCATCCTCACATCCCTGAACCTCCTAAGCATGTCTTTTTTCCTGCAAAGGTAAATCTTCCTTGCTTCTGTTTTTTCTTCTGTGTTTCTTGTCATCGAATTTCAACTGGACTCGTACTAGCTTACTCTTATTTTCAATTTGATTTTGATTCCTAGCACATCACTCTGTATGAATATTTCCTCTCATTTTCTGGCTTTGTTTTTTCTAATATCAGCAGAAATAGTGGAGACTCCTAAATTGTAGTTGAAATCACAATCAACTCTCATAAATAGGCTTTTAGTGAACTGTTTTTTCTTATTCTTTTAAACATTCATCAGTACTCTCTTTTGCGTGGATTCATCTTGAAGTTTATAATTGGAATTAAAATGCATCAGTAATTTTCATTCATCTAGTTGTTACTGCCAAGGAGGTTTAGTGGTTTTCAACATTTCAAAATATCTTCACGTGAACCCGTTTGCTTGAGCAGCATGTGAGGCAAACCTCTGCAGGATTTTAATTTCTTTGTGTGCTTGTTCCCCGTGAATAGTTAGACAGAAGATGGTTTTAATCACTTGAATATAAATGTGAAACGTACGCATACTGATTTCTTTTATTTTAATCCACTTCAACTTACAATTAAGAAATATCAACTTTTTAGAGGTCAGAGCTCTATTGATGCAAATTTTAGATCTAAGAGAGCTGCTTTCGGTAGTCTGATTAGTTTGTATTGCAGATTTTAAAACCATATGATATCAAGCCATTCCCTGTACTTTGGCATGAAGAAAACAGTAGCTCACGGCAGAAAGCAAGAGAGAGGTACTTATCTATGCTCTATTCCTTTGTGGCTACTACTGCCTTTTTTATGCTTTTATTGAAGAAAGCACTATATCATTAGTGTAATAAATTTCGAAATCAAAATCTAGTGTTATTGTGTCTGGGAAATTGAGCTGTCAGTTTAATTACTGATCTTGATTGTTTTAACCTTTTTTTTATTTCACACACAAGTAGTTAAGTAAAGTAGATAGAGTGGGGACTTGAGTTTTTTTGCATGAAAAGGCTAAGAATGGAAAAAAAATGTCATCTCACCCCATTGAACATCTTCCTTTGGTATGAAAGAGTTACAAGGCATTGCTCTTCCTCATATAATTGGAGAAGGCCTCAATACATTGTAAAAGAAAGTTTTGTCAGGCCTTGTTAATAGTCTTGTGTAGTATGGTAGTCGATGTTACAAAATGTAGCTATGATAGTTTTGAACAAGGTTGTGAAAATCAGATTGGACAATGAATTGAAAGGAGATGTTCACAGTTCAACCAGTCAAATCGGATGATATAATAAATAATAATATTATTAAAAATTAATAAAATTAATATAATAATAATGACAATCTAAACTGTGAAAGTTTATCTTTTCCGATTGATGAGATCCTCGAAGCCAAGGTATTATCAAATGAACTGTTTAGATGTGTTTTGCATAGTTGGGGGGAAGACGAGCATGATGACGTGAAAAAAATTAAGGCATATCGGGATGGCTTTGAACTTTGAGACGTGGGTTGGAAAAATCTACAACAAAGATTTTGCAATCATTCCAATCACATTGTATCATTAGATTTTTTGAAGGGTTGAATTCTCGAACTTGGTGTTGATAATGATGGTACAGTTGAACCGGGGATAGGAAGGTCGATGCTTGACATAGACCATTGTATTCTATACTGTAACTGGTATCCTTATCAGGATAAAATGCTATTAAAGTGGTATAAAATATTGTTGCAATGTTCTGAATAAGGTAAACAGAATAATTTTCTAAATGGACAAGATTGACAGCAGATACAAGAAGAATTTATTATCAAATTCAGATGTTGTCCTGCACAAACTCATCTCCAAGGTCGTGTCTGATTTATACTGAAGAATATATAACAATAATAGTTATGCTTTTTTGCTGCATTTTGTTATGTAGGGTTTTGCTCGTTATTAATATATCATTTTGTAATATTTTAATTTGTGTAACAACAATTTCTAATTGTTACTCAACTTCTAGGTTTTTTTATTAATTTGACTTTATTTCCTTTATTCATTGACTTTTTTATTTAATATTAAATTTCTAATGGCAAATCAAGTTGCATTTCCTAAATATATTATATTTGTATTTATGTATATATCCTTTTTCGAAGAACTTAGTACTAATTCATGTAATATTCAACATATAATGTCATTATCATCAAGGTCCTCATCAATAAAGCTCTCACCATCAAGGGATTTCCTTCATATAATCCCTAGAAAGAAGGTTATCTATGATGGTACTGTTCGATTGACAGAATCTGTCGTATCCCATGAATGAATTCTTGGAGGAGAAAACAAGATCAAATGAAATTTTTCGATGTTGTATACATGAATGGTCATGGTATGAAGACGATAGTTTATGGGATACATATAATAAAGTTATCAAAACTCGTTATCCCATGTATGTGGATGGAGCAACCCTTACTGATATGGGCATCAAAGGTTTAGGGATCATACTGATTATTTTGCTCCTATGGGTATTCTTAAGACAAGAATTGGTGAAATTGGACGAAAAGAACATGGTTCTGTTGTGGTCAATGTTGAGAATCCAATAACTGATGTGCAATATTGTATTCTTTATAAAAGGTGACATTCTTTGTCAGATGCATTTCTATCTGAAAAATATCGAGAGCTGAATATTATAGATGAAAAAAAGGAGTTTTTGAATATAAAAGATTGATAATACATTCAAAAGAAGTTCACAGAGGACTTCATATGCTGTCCAACTTTAAGCCAACTCTAAGTGCGTATGCGCATAGTAGTGACCCACATGTAATAATAATTTTTTAGTTTTCTTTCAACTCTTATCATATATATTTCATGTTGCTACTGAAATTATCATGTATTTTCATGATCTTATGTTAATTTCTTTTCGCACTTTTTCATTCCAAACAATCTATATCGAAGATGAATAAATATTTATTTCTCCAAATATTTTAAATTTTTTATTACATTCAAATATTATTATTTTTAATATAACTTTTAAATATAAAAAGTTTTCCGTAGAGGGAGATACAAAGAGTTTGTTAATTATAATATTTATATAAAACTATTTTAAACTAAAATTTAAAATAATTTTCAAAATTTTAACTCATTTTAAATTTAGATAAATTTATTTTTAACTTATTTTTAAAACAATTTTATTTATTTTATTCACAATTGTCATAAACTTATTTTCACAATTTTCATAAAATTTAAAAATAAATTTATTTAAATTTATTAAAAAAATTTACGATTAAAACTAATAAAATTATTTTATTTAACAATTGATAAATTTAATAAGATTAAATATTATAAAAAATTAATAGATTAATCATATATGATATAAATAGTTAAATAGTAACATAACTGAACAACAATTTTACGATTAATTATATAATATAACTATATATCTGGTCTCCGGTAACGACAAAACTGAACGGAAATATGAGCTGGGAAATGTTGGTCAAGCTTGAATGCGCCGAGGCTTTAAGCGCAATCACTGGAATGCGCTTTGCTTAATGGCGCATTCTATGGAATGCGACTGAACGTTTGGCGCATTCTTTGAATGCGCCATTCAGGACCGCGCATTCATTTGATGCGCCTATCCCTTTGGCGAATTCGCTCGTTTTTAAATTATTCCTGAATCGCGCTGCTTCTGCTAAAATAGGCAACAAATAGGCTCGTTCCGAAAAATTGGCTTTGGATTATATTTGATCATAGAAATATCATTCTCTAAAACCCTATTTTGATATTGAATCTATTATATAATACTGTGTCAGTCTCCCGAGACTGTACTTTATTCTCAATGCAGTATTCAATTATAAAATTGGAGAAATCAAAATATGCGTGGGGACATTATTTTTTCTGTGCACTGTTAACTTAATTCCTCTATAATTCACACAATCTTGTGCATCACCTTTATTATTTAAAATAGGAATCAACACACTCATTATTCACTCATTTGTCATCTTTTTAGTCTTCAAAATAATATTAAAAAGTTTAGTAAGCCAAAAAATTCCTTGATCTCCTAAGCATTTCCACACCTCTATTTGATTATGATCAGGTCCAATAATTTTGTCGCACTTCATTTTAAAGACATATCATTGAGATCAGCTACATTAAAAAAAGAAAGTACATTTTTATGAAGAATTAAATTTGTTACTACTATTAATCAATTTTAATTAGCATATCATGTGGTTCCAATGATTCATAAAAGGTATGGAGCCACCATTGTGTTTTGATAGACCATCCTCCTCCACAAAGTGATTTGAACAAACCGCCTGTGCTCAACACTTCAAAGCATCCATGTTCCACTTCTCAATCATTTATGACCACACTAATTTGCCATCCACATTGTCATCGACCTAAGATCTGTATCCATCAAAGTCACTCACACTTTTGGCAACTATACATTCTAGACTCAGAATCTTGATAATGCGGTGCAGCATAGTCAAGAGTTAATTGGGGAGATATATGCCTCACCTTGAGTGAAGCAGACGTTGAAGACGATCTTAGCAAGAGTTCCATGTTGCGTGGAGCAACAACAAAGCAAAGAGATGAGAGGAGTCGCAAATCAATTCCAGCAACCCGCACTTTTTTTCCTTTATACCAATTATTGCGACCAAAAATATTTGTTGCAAATATCGCAAATTTGCTTGATATTTGTGTCAAATATTCCATTGCAAAAGAATTGTACCTCTATGATGGAATTTTGCAATGAATTTGTGTTAATCTTGCACATGTACCCTTAAATTTTATGTTATCAATCAGACACTTTTTTAAGTAACTTGAAACCTATAGCAACATTGGAATGCAGGCCACAGGTATCAGGAGCCATTTCTGGCCTACTTTTAGGAGAAGCATCGCACAGACTTGTGAAGAACTCATTGCAGATCAAAGCCAACAGTGCAGGGCTGCTTGACACCCCATATAATAGGAAACATTCATATTCTTCCGGCAAGACGAGAGCTGCCGGACCGTCAGGATTCGAAGGAGGCTTCCAAAACCCAAACTTCGATCACCATCGACATACCCACAACTCCCGAGATTTCGCAAACCCATGGCCAGCTCAGTCAAGCGAGCCGCAGAATATGAGAAACAATTTCGGTATAATTGAACCGTTCATTCCTCAAGATCAGTATAACATTGGAAGAGGAATGTCGCAATTGTCAGTGCAAGATGGACCAAAATATCGATTGCAACAAAGGATAACACCACCAAGTACTCATCAGAATACAGGTCCTCTGCCTCCACCACCTCCAACCAACTGGATTGGCGACCATATGGCTTCTCTTTATAAGCAACCATCGCAACAACAACAATCTGTGCAGAAAGTAGCTTATCGGATTAAGCAACGGCCATCACAAAATATAGAGTACAGTTATCCTCAGTGATCCCAACTCTCTCATTGGCTCACATAATAATGTGCTTAGCTTACTGTATTGGTTAGAAAATGTGAAGCTAAAGTGGCCCATTTATGCATACAGAATTCTCATATTAGTTGGGTTCGGTGGCGAGGAAATCTTTCTGCAAGTCTTTATGCTTTGTGTATGTATTGTAACGTTATTGATTGGATCATCGAGTACTACAAGCGCATAGCTTGCCTGCTGCAAATTACTTAGTTCTATTTGTTCTATTTTTAAAGACTTTTGTTGGCAGTAAAACTTTTGTGTATGAGTGTAAATGTCATGAGTTCACTTGAGAGATATGTTATGCTGTCAAATTTTCATATACAATGTTTTGATTTTATATGATTTACATATATCAAGTACAATTTTTTTTAATGCATACATATTTAATATTAAAATTTTAAATCATATAAAAATAATATTAATGCTAATTTTTTAGAATAAAATATATATTTTGATGTGATTGTGATATTGAAATGTTATATTAGTAAGTATTAAAATTTATATATTAGATGGAAAAATAATTGTGGTATCAATGTATTTTTTTTTTTAATTGCTTTTTCATGACTTTGATTAGTTTTAGTGGGAAGGTAGATAGAGAAAAATAAAATCTTATGTTAGATAAGATTATTAACATTTTTTAAAAAAATTATTTGGTAAATGTTAACTTGCAAAGTTGAATTTGAAAATTGAAGCATTTGGAAAATCTTTAATTTGATGAGCATGGTGGTTATTATGTTGAGAAAAGTTTAACAAATTGAATCTTCTGAAAAAATTGCTAAAATACATGGAAGAATTGTATATGTAGGGTAAAAAGAATTAACATGGAAGCTAGAAAATTATTTACATTGAGGGCATGGTTGTTAAGATGTTGGGAAAGATTTAACATGAAAACTAGAGCTTCCATAAAAGCTTTAACAAGTTGATCAACATTATTAACTTATTGGAATCATAGGTGGAAATCAGTGCTTCTAAAAAATCATTATGTTGGATGGAGTTGCTTACCCATTTGGAACTGGAGCTATGAGAAATACATTAATATGATGAATAGGTACTTTAATGTGCTAGCCATACATATAGATGAGGATGGCATGTATCATAATCTAATTTGGAAGAATATTTTCTTTTATCTTTTATTATACGACAAGAAGAGCTATCTAAATTTATCTATCAATAATAAATAATGGAAATAAATTCTATAATTCAAAATATCAAAACACATCTACATTCATTAACTCAAAATAAAGCATATACAATACATAGAAATCATACAAATACAATATATCATTTTAGTCCTAAGTACAAAGGAATTTTGACCATCTCACACTCCTGAATCTCTTTTCTGATATGAAATCATTTAAACCACATATATTGAGCTAAACAACCTAGCATGTTACTAAAATCCTATAACTGAATTTAAAGCATAATAAAGAAGCAATATGTAATGATAGTCAATTCATAATAATAACAATCATATGATTAAGAATCAATGCAAAATAGTAAAACTCACATATAGTAATAGTAGAATCTGTAAACAGTAAAATAGTATGGTATGAAAGTCGATAAAATAATATAGTGGGGAAACCAATAAACCAATGCGGGTGTCGAATCGATAAAGCAATCATTGTATCAGTACTACCAATTAGTAAAGAAATTGTATAAAGCGGTAAAATCAAAGCATCAGTAAAGACTGTTGGAATCTTATAAATGTAGTAAAATCCTATAATGATGTACACATGCTATCTAATTATTTTACATCAGTATCTTAACCACATACTCAGCATGTGTTGTGCTCAGTATTATTACAATGAAGTAATAACAATAACAACGATAATGAATTTATTGTGGTATCAATAATAGTATTATTGTTTGTATTGGACCAGTAAATCTAGTGACCATAATAATAAAATATTACAATAATAGTAAATATGTGCAATATCAGTAATGTCATACAATAATAATGAATCTATAATATACATTTCAGTAGTAACACTAAACAAGTAAGAAGTTCTGACTATTATGGTATTTTTAAATAATCAGTAATCAATAGTCGATAACCATTGGCTTAGTAAACAATTATCACTCTTTATCATTCATCATACTAATAACTCCTTATAACTTCCAATCGTTGTATCAATAGAGGATAATGTCCAACCATAATATTTAAAGAAAAACTCATCGATCCATCATCATGTACATGTCAATTAATCTCCAACTAAACAGGTCAACCAAACTTTATTTGTCTTTTATACACACATTATTATTACTATATTATAACATGAATAACAACCAACTATTATTCAATCTCATATCCACATTTATTTCCAATGCATTATAGTAAATAAAAAATTTTTGAACTTAATTCAGAAAGTGTTAAACTGTCCTAACGGTAGGCAACAAAAACCTTATTGAGTAGAAATTCATATTTTTCAGAAATTAATCAAATTATCAAAGATCATATATAACAATATTCTGAAGTTTCAATTGAACTATAACACTATTTTTAGATGGCAAAATAAAATTTTGAATTGACAAAAAACACACCTAACAAAAAATCTCAAATAAATACTCAAAATATTCATATTAATCTCAATCTCCATAACCTATAAAAAATTATGAGATGAAGGTTTTATCAATGCAAAATTAGCCTCATTTTTTGTAACAAAAAAATAAATTTGATCAGAAAAATCTCAAATATACTAAATTATTAAAAGCAGCAAAAATATGATAATAGTTCATTACAATGGGACGAGCAAATCTCTTAACATAGTCAACTAACAAAAATGGCTCAAGGGCCTCTAAACTTTAGGTTTCTATTTCTCTCTCCTCTATTTTCTCTCTTATTTCCCTTATGGCTCTTGCCTAAATGAATAGGGAAAAAGGGATTAAAATCTTCTTTAATGATTTTGTAAAGTGTTGTTAGATATTTTTGTTAAAATATAATATTAACATAATTATATAATTTAACTAATTTTTAGTACAAGATTTATATAAATTTTTATGGGGCTTTAAAAATTATAGAAAAATATCCACATAATAGCACATTTTATTTAAATTTTTTTTTTGTGAAATTGGTTACAAAACGAACACTAGACGGTCCCAAAACTCTTACTTATACCAAAATTATCAATTTCGTAAGAATTTACATAAACGCTAAAAAATTATGAAAAAATTGGTGTAATTAAGTCACTACAATATATATGTTATGGCGAAGAATTTTTTTTTCTTTGGACTTAATAATTCCTAAAAAAAATTATTTGGCAGGGTCAAAATATGAGCTATTACAATCTTCTAACTTAAAAAAAAATAGTCCCCGATATTTCCTTAAGGGTATTGTAATAGCCCAAATTTTAATCCAGCCAAATACATATGTTATGGTGAAAGTTTCGCCAGTATTAAGTAAATTTTATGTAGTGAGCCATAATAGGAATTGATATTAAACAATTATTGAGCTTATGAAAACTTTGCTCACATGCATTAGACTAGACAAGCTTAACAAAATTATGAGTCAATATATTTCAAGGTGTAGCAATACTCAAAAAGCATTCAACAAATTATTTGTAACAGGCAATTATATTAAAAAAAAAACTACAAATTTTTATAATGGTGCTCGGCCTCAGTCAATCCATTATTACTCTGACTTTGGTAAGTTCCACATAAATTCTAGCTCCACTGATAAATTGTTAGAGCAATTTCACCTCTCAAAATTAAAACTTACATTTAAAAAGATTTACATAAAGTTTGTTCACCTAAAAAATATTCAATGTTGTTCTAAGATGCTGGGCATGCTTCTTATTATTCTTGAAATAAATTAACATATCATCAATGCATAAAATCACAAATCAATCTAAGATTTGAAGATTTTATATATTCATCAAATTCATAAAAGTAGCAGGGCATTAGTCAAATAAAAAAGCATGACTAAAATTCATAATGATCATATCAGGATCATAAAGCTATTTTTGACACATCTTCATTCATTATATTTAATTGATGGTACTTAGTATGAAGATACACATTTATAGAAGATCATCTTATGAGCATTGATTATAAATACAAGAGAAGATACTGCTCCATTGACATCATTAAAACTTAAAGCTATCACACTAGGTGCATGAATTTCACTTTCCTCTTATGACAATCAATCATGACATGATATGTAGATAGCCATTCCAAACCTAATATTGCATTGAACTCAACTAGTTGAAATATAATTGAGTGTTGCAGGCATATGCATATTATTAATAATAATATCACAATTGTGAACACATTCAATAACTATCATGGATAACAAAATAATAATAAGTGTTATTACAATTGACATACTGATGCATTCGATATAAATTCACTAATATGAATGAATGTGATGCCCAAGTCAAATAATTTTTTTGTTAGCTTTTTACAAATAAAAATGATAAATGTCACCACATAAAGAGCTTTACAAGCATCTTATTGCATCATTATGAATATGTGAGGTGGAATCATCTATCACACTATATGATACTATAGAATTTGTTATCATTGCTCACATAACATTGAATATTGTTGTTGCTAGCAGTGTAATGCAAGACATTGGTATGGCTGAGGTGTTAGTAATTGCCATAGATGCTATTAAGTTGAAGATAATATATTATTTCCTATCCTTTACCAATTTTCTTGTGATGTAGAGCTTCATACAATTCATGCCATCCATTTTTATGTAGTTGATTGAACTTATCTCATACAAATTGTAGGGTTGGACTTCCCTTAGGTCTTAAGAGGGCAATCATTTATTATATGCTCAACAAAGTTATAAGTTCTTGAATGCAACTTGCCATAGTGCAGATAGCGAGGATTATTGTTTGGCCTATCTCCTAGATGTTTCTTATGTTGTTTTATCTTATGAATCTTCTAGTGCATGAATGTCTAGGATTTTTTATTTTATAGTAGTCTTCTATTCACAAGTATTAATCTCTATTTATGCATGTATAACTTGACCCATAAACTCTCTGAATATAATGCATTTAACTGTGAATAAGTATTTTCCAATATCTTCTCTCATAATATATATATATAATATATATATATATATATATATATATATGTATGTATATTAATGTTGGCCATTGTATGGAACAAATATGATGATCTTAGCAAATTGTGTCATATCTCAAACTTCCTTTGTTCCTTGTTTTAGCATTCTCAAGTCGTTCATTAATTTAGCGCAGTCTACCATTAAAAAATATTGCTCTAGAAATAATCTTTCAAGCTCTAAGGTATCACAACATATGATCCAAAATTATTACATTGGTGGTTTTGCTAGCAATGATCCATACCTTCACGTAATTAATATGTTGCAAAATCTACCTTACGC